GGCCAGGGCAGCAGCACCCACTCAGCCTGGGGCAGAGGGCTCAGCTGGTGTCCTGGCTTAGGGAAAATCTGGGAAAAAACCTCCAAAAGGCGCCCAGAAAGCCAACCCGTGTATCCCCTCCCCATACCTGGTTCGGGAAAAATCTCCTCAGAGAGAAGTGGAAAGAACCTGTTTATTTAATAGGCAAAGCACTCCCCAGCACAAAAAAATGAGCAATACCCTACAACAAAACTCTTTGTTGCTCTGAAGAGATGACAAATTCAGAAAGTCTCTGTGGTGGGTGGTTGCTTTGTTGTCAGTCCCTCTGGCACTGGGAAAGGCTGCAGAGCAGGTCCCGGCAGGCTGCAAAGTGTGAGCTCGTGGTGTTTCCCCAGGTCCCAGTCTGGAGCAGGTTCGAATGGTTCCAAGGAAAGGGAAAGAAAAACAGGCCAGGGAAAGCTTGGACTGCGTCAGCTAGCTAAACTAACTAACTAACTAACTAACTAACTAACAAACAAGCAAAAGGAGCACGGTATTCTGCCCTGTCCATGCCCAGAAAACAACAGTGTTCCAGAAGACTGTGGAGGAGTGAGTCCAGTCCCTGATAACAAAACTCTGCTGCTTCTTCTCCCCACCTTTGCTTTCAGCCACAGAATATAATATCCAGCACAAACAGAGCGACTGATTGGGGATATGTGGTGTTACATTTTAGTTAAATGGTATGCTCTGTCTCACCCCTCCAAAGTGTAGGGTTTATTCCAAGCCTGTGATCCTCCCCTGAAGTATCATGGATCTGTAATCCCATTGGCCCAAGGCTTGTTCCATGCCCACTTTGAATCTGCCTGTTAACCTGTGCGAGGGTGATGAGAATCTCTCTTAGCCCTTTGCTCTCTTGGTCCTTTCTCCCTAGGCTCTCCCTCCCTGTCCCTTTCCCCCTTCTCCCTCAGAAACCATGCAGCTCCTGGAGGTGAGACCTCCAATAAACTCTCGCCTAATGAGCACCCTCAGAAGCTATGTGGAGTCTCCTTGGCTGCTTGCTGTTACCGGTGAACATACAGCTTAGGGGGGCCCCAGGAATCCCCTAAATGAACAGCATCAGGGATACAAACATCATAACATCACCCTGGGACAGCTGGTCAGGTGTAACGCTGTGGCTCTGTTACAGGCTCAGGTTCTGGCCATGATGGGGCGGACGAAGGAGGCGGAGAAGATGACGAACCACATCCTTAACGAGGATGCAGAGTGCCTGGAGTGCTACCGCCTCCTGTCAGCCATCTACAGCAAGCAGGAGCTCTATGCCAAGGTACCGTGCTGTGGGATAGCCTTGTCCCAAGGGCTCACACACAGAGCTCAGGTTGAGTTTTACACTTTTTCTCTCTGGGGACAAGTCACGTGCCTCAGCGCACATTCAATATATTATTTCTTCACTAAAACCCTCAGTTTATTTATGTACTAAGACTGAAGCTGAGCAGTGTGGTTTTCTTATCACTTATACCTCCTGCTGCTGTCAGCGCCAGTGCCCATCAGTGCCAGGCTGTCTCAGATCCCGAGATGTTGGAAAGTCTCTTTTTCCCAGCCCCAAAATTGAAGAAGGAGTCAGGGCTCCTCAGCTGTGGTTTTCAAGGTTGCTTATTTTCTATTATCTATGCATTCTTTTTCTGACCCACTGAGGTCTGTCTGGCAGGTTGGTCCATGGCACACTGCACACCCCTGAGGCAGTGTTAGTTTTTTATGCTAAGAGCTATGTGTACTTTATCTACAATAATTTTCCAATACCTATCACCTATGTTAGACAGTCTGTTCCTACTCTAAACCAATTCAAAAGTGCCACCATCACACAGAAGATGGAGGCTAAGAAGGAGAAAAAGGAAGGACAAGGCACACCCAAACCCCTCCATGTTGGCTTCTGAACCCCCATTCTAAAAACCCCAAAATTCTATTTTTCCACCTTGTGACAAACTAACTATCATTCTACTTAAACTCTCGTGGCTTCTAGATCTTCACATGAAGTTGGTAATTTTCTCCATGGGTTAAAATTGAAGGCACAGGTGTCTTTGGCTCTGTGCCATGGCCTCTGAGCCTCCAGCCAGGGGCTCAAGCCATCCAGGGCAGCCAGAGGGATGTCCTGGGTTCTGACACAGGCATTTAAAAATCTCGTTTCCCTGTGTTAATGGTGTGGGGCAAACAAGGGATGGAAGAAGATGATTCTTATGCTGGTAGTCCATAGTGATGAGGAAAGAATGATAAATGGGAAGGCAATGAATGGAAGGCACACAATGTCCTCTTGCTTTTTCACAGGCACTTGAAGCTATAGAAAAAGCGCTTCAGCTAAAACCAAAGGATCCAAAAGTCATATCAGAGCTCTTTTTCACTAAAGGAAACCAGCTAAGAGAACAGAATCTCCTTGACAAGGCTTTCGAGGTATGACTGCTCTAAGACCTACCGGTGGTTTTATAGGCTAAAAGACAGAGTTTGCTCCTTGTGTGTGAAACTCCCTGGTGCAACACCCTGGAAGCTGTTGGCCTTAGGAGCTCTGAGTCTGTCACTGGTACAGAGAAAGCTATGAGGCAGCTAACTTTACCAGACTTAATTGCAACTTTTTTCCTCATTCCTCTATGGAAATACTGCTCCCTGCTCTGAGAGGTTAAGTGCAGAACTGTGGTAGGATTCACCTTAGCTCCATCCAGCCCCAGCCCCTCTTGCTGTCAGTGACCAGCTCCAGGTGGCACAGCTGGAAGCTTAGGGACCTGTGAGAGCTCACCATGTTGTTATAGCTCACTTCAGAAGCCAGTAACTGGGAGGTTGGCTTATCCTGTGAAGAAGGATGCTTGATAGCTCAGAAATTGTGTTAGCATTAATAATAGTGCAGAAGCAACGTGGTCTAGTGGAAGATGTCACTGCCTGTAGGAGGGGAGCTGGAAGTAGATAATCTTTAAAGTCTCTCCAAACCCAAACCATTCCACTATTCTCTGATTCAGAAAATATTAATTGGACTGTTCTGAATATTCTCAATATCCCTAAAGATGTTTAGTCCTGATTTGAAAATCCTTTCCTGTTGTGACAGTGTAAAAACAGTGCTGCTTGACAGACTCCAGAAGGTCCTAATTGCTTCTTCTCCCCCTCTCAGTGTCAGTGGGGAAGGAAAGCACTGCCCTCAGGTCCTTGTGAAACCTCCACACAAGTGGCTGTACCAGAGTCTGCTGCCAGCTCCAAATGAAAACCTTGCAGATAAAGAGCAATCACATGGCTTGTAGTTGGCAGGGCTCGTGCTTGGCACTGCCTAAGGAAATCACCTTGATGTGCAGGAGACCCCAGTGGTGCAGGGGGCAGGGTGGCAGGTTGGCTCCTCTCAGAGTGCAGGAAAAGCACACATTGGCAGGGAAAACCTGTGAGATGAGCTGAGCCATGGAGCAGCACATTCTGTGCCTCTTCTGCAAAGGAACTGAAATTCACTTTGCGCATTGTCTATGAGAGGAATTTGAATTCCATTCTGAATGGCTTCAGGAGAGGAAACTGTGTTTCTCTTTCCCCTCCGGCACTGGTTTTGTTTGGAGAATCAGACTCCTAACCTAGAAATGTTTCCTGTTTCTGCAGAGCTACAAACGGGCTGTGGAGCTCAATCCAGACCAGGCACAGGCCTGGATGAATATGGGAGGCATTGAGCACATCAAGGTATGATAGTTTTGGTTTTCCTTAAGCTGCCAGGTGCAGACACTACTACACAGGACAAAAAGCTAAATTGGTTTCAGAGTGCCAAGAGTTGCATGTTTGTGAACAGCAAGTCCCTTGACATATTTTATCCTAAAAAGAGGGAAGTCTCTTCACCCCAGCTGGAGTTCCCAACCAGGTGGCTTGGTAAAGCAAATCTCATATTTTTAGAGTGCAGGCTGCAAGGAACAACCTGCTCCACTCAAAAACTTTCCTGCTTCAGTTGTTGACCTACCTTAGAAAAATGTCACCGTAGTTGACTTTTAAGGTTCTTCTCTACCTAATTAATTTAATAAAGATGTCTTAATGCAGAATACTGGCATGAAATTATGGAAATAGGCAGCCTACCCTGTGGTTGCTTATTCTTTTGAATACTTTAGCATATCATTATGATTTGGGTCTTAAGGAGTCACATTGTGTGATGTCCTTAAGCTATCCTGTTGCTGAGTGAAATTAACTCTTCTGGTGCAACACAACAAAAAAATGTAAATCTATTTCTTGTTGCATGAGTTTCATCAAATTTAGGTCAACAGCACTTGGTGATCTGTTTCATAAAGAAGTATTTTTGTAACCCAGCAATGTCAGGTTTTTTAAACTCTGTTTCCCCTGTGTCTCGTTTTTCACTTCACCCTGGGAACAAACTTTCTGTGTGGAATGGGAATGAGACCTGCCACTCATTTTCTTTGCAGGGGAGCTACATCACTGCCCGTGACTACTACGAGAAAGCCTTGCAGCTGGTTCCAAACAGCAAGCTGCTGAAGGAGAATCTGGCCAAGCTGGATCGCTTGGAGAAACGGTTTCAAGAAGTCCAGGAGAAAGACCAAACATAGCAATGAGTCACCAGCAGGAGGACACTCCTGCCCCTTGGAGGAGAGTGTGGTGGAAGCCTGTTGCTCAAAGTGATGCTGAAAGAGCTTTGATAGGACTCAGAATTATGGAAGGCAAACTTGGAACACATGCTTAGGTTCAATCAAAGTTACAGGATCCTGTGGGGTCCTGTGGGATGTGCTGGAGCATGAATGAAAACTTTCCTTTAATCAAGATTTACATCTAGGCTGTTCTAGTGACACCAGGAGTGTGGGTGGGACATGCACCTTCCGTGTCTTGGTTGTCACCAAGGAAACCATGGAGACAAGGCACTCATCCATTGCAGCAGGGGTGAAGGAGCACCTCCTGTTCTCCACACACAGGCTCACCTCATCCATGTAGAGCACCACTGGTGGGCTTCATTGCAAGTGCTGCAGACAGGAAAGATGGTCATAATGGTCACATAAAAAAGGTTCCAAGGGGTTAATGCTGAGGAAATGGTGGTCACTTTTACAGCTCCTAATGGGACTTGAAAATTACTCTAAAGAAAGGGGAAACTATTTAAATATCACCCTGGAAGGATGATTCTACAAGTAGGACAGATGATCCTTTGAGGGAAAACCTAGCCTGAATATTTTATTCATTATACAATAATTTTGTAGTAATTCAGGTTCATGATGTCACTTTTGTCAAATATCATATGGCTTTACCCTTTGCCCTCTCCCTCCAGGCCAAATAATTATTACTCTGAAAAAAACTGAAGCATGCAAAGGCAATGGGAAGCTCTAGGATTACTTGTCCTCCTGCTCAGTCCCCAGTATGGAAAACAAACAACCTATCTAATCAATATAGGAAGTAAAGTAAAGCCACAGGGAGATTAGGAAACATTTCCTAGCCTGGAAAGGTACGAAGGAGGCTCTTTTATGGGTGTGCAGGGACAAAGCCCATTTATCATGGTGATAACACTGACAAAATACTTGGCCAAAGTGTTCTCACCACTCCCCTAAGAGATACAGAAAATGACCTATAGCTGATTAGTCGTAAATCTATATTTTTAAATACTGATGTGGGAAAACAGATTCTCTTCAGAACTGGGGCTTTTATTTTTGAGCTTTATTTATTTAACTTATAATAATCAAATAATTAATATATTTTCTCTGTTTTATACGAATTGGGCAATATCCCTCACAGCTGGCCACACGGTTGGGCATTGTGACTCATATTGTCTGAAGTTAGGAAAAGGGAGTGCCAATGAGGCATGCTGGAATAATTCCCTCTCATTCTAAGTGGCTGCAGAGCACTTTGGACCACACTGGCCCTGCAATAGCAGCACTTCTGCTGCTTCCACTGGGGTTTGCACCAGTTCCCAGGGAGCATTAGTGGGATCTGCTTCCTGCCTTTGGGTTTGGACATCAGGGTCAGTCACCAGTTTTCTCCTCTTGCAGCACTAAACTGCTGGAAAAGTTGTTTTGTTTGAGCTTGACTGTGGCCAGCAGCCCAGGGTTTGGCATTGTTAGTACAGTTCAGGTAGGTGTACAATGCCCAAAAAACCATCTGTCAGGAAAAGCCTGGTACCGCTGTGGTGCCCAGATTTAGCTGGCCATGGCACTTCAGCACTCTCCAAGTTCCCTCAGTGGGATGGCTCAGCCATGTGCTGAGGTTTTGCTGGCTTCCTTTGACAAGCCTGGCGATAACACTGTGTCTTGCTGCACAGGTGATGGTCAGGTTACTGAGGAATTACTGATGTGACTCCAACTGTGTTTGGAGCTCCCAGGTACAGTTGTCTGCCCTGCCAGGGTTTATGGACCTGCCAGAGCCATGGCTGTGCATCCACTGAGACCAGGCTGGATGGGCCCTACTGGCCAAGGAGAGCAGCCAGCTACAGCTGGGCAGAAGTGAAAAACTGCTGGGGAGAAGAGGTGGCACCATGAGTGTTTGGGCTCTCCCTCCAAACCAGCTTCCAGAGGAGCACTGAGATCAGAACAAGCAAGTTGCTTCACTGTTGAGTTTTCTGCTCCCAGCCCAAGCAGCCTACTTTACTTCATGGGGCCAGGGACAGGTTTAGCTCCTGGGGCTGGTTCAGCACCCCTCTGTTGTTTTTTCACACAGCTCTTGTGGCTGTGGACTGGCTGAACTGACATTTCATTTCTGCAGGTCCCCAGGGCAGGTGCTCTGCTGGCTGCCTTGCACACGGCAGATCTGCACACCCCTGGGCTGCCAGGATGGCCTGGAGGAGGTGGCATCATGCCAGCACAGTCCCATGGGATGGGGACACCAAAGCTTAGATGGCCTCTGACAGCAGTCAGCTCCCCAACATGCATTGCAAGGTCATAGATGGTTCCTTGCTGGGATGTTCAGAGGTACCTGGACCAGAAATCTCTGTGCCTGTCCCCAAGGTGAGCCTGTCTCTGGGACAGCTCCCCAAAGGCCTGTGCGCCCAGGCTGGCTGTGCTGCAGTGAATCTGGGGGCTGGCAGAACAGTGTTTGGTGCTGCCCTGACAGGGGTACCATGCAAAGCCCCCAGGGAGGAGGCACCTGCTGAGTGCTCCAGCAGCCAGCTGAACATCAGTGGGTAGCATGGGGGACATGTGCCTCCTTTAGAAATGTGTATCAGCTATCAACTTTGCCTCAAAAGATATATTAAATAAATACTATATATATTATACAGGCCTCACTGCAGTTTGTGGCTTTAAATAGTGGCCAATGAAGCATATTTTTTCAAATACAGAAGTTGTATTTTTTATAGCAATGCTTTGTGAGGGGGAAGACTTAGCTTTATGTTTTTAACTTCAGCATAAATCTTAGTTTGTCTTTCCTGAGAGACCTGGTAGAAATTGTCTCCTGCTTGTCCTAAAACCTGATCAAAGCCATCCTGACCTCCTAAAACTTGTGTATGTATGGAAGTGTAATGCAGCTTTGGATGCTCCCCTCCCAGATCCTGGAGAAGGATTGATTACCATTTGTGCAACGCTGTCTTACTTGCAGAAAATGGAGAAAGATGCCCCAGTAAGGGAGGTGGTTTATTGGAAGGCAAGGCACATCCACTTGCCTGAACCAGGCTGATCACATAGCCAGGGATTTTAATGCCAGTTGCAGCAGTTTACATTTCCGTGCCCAAAGGCCGGCCCTCCACACCTTGGAGCTGGGTTTGTAGTTCTGCAGAGAGGAGAGCTCAATAATGAACCCCATGTTCCTGGACCAGCACTTTATACCCCATCTGTGCAGGATGACAGGCTGCAAACTGGCAGCAGATTTGGAGAATGGCTCAGAGCATGGGCTACCAAAGCAGTTAAACCCCTGTGAAGCTCTGAGCTGACTCCCTGTCCTGTTGGCACCCATGCTGCAGCCCTGTGTTTGTTCAGGGCATCAATCATGTCAAAGGTTTATTGCAGGCAAAGAATGGAGTATAATATGAAATGGGTTACCTCCACCAACATGGAATGCAATTGTGCAAGGTAAATCAAGCAACTTACCTTGTGATAACTTCATATTGTCCTAATTAATCATAGGAAATGTTCTCTTCCTCTAGTATCACACAGCTTCTAAAACAAAGAGTTATAAATACATTGTTTTCTACCAGTTCCAGTGCTCAGCATGGTTAGCAGAGATTGCAGATTAACAAATGGCTGCAGATCTGCCTGGTGGGGGAGAGTTCATGCTCTCTGCAAGTTGCATTGGATAAACCTCAGTGCTCACTAATTTTAAAGCAGAGAATTAATGGAAAGCTGGTTAAACAGGACTCTCATGTACTCACTGTACATTTTAATCCTAAATGAGAAACATAATAATTGTGTTGCTTTTTCCTTTCCCCGCGGATAATATTTGCAGCTGATGGATTTTATTTTATTGCTTATTTAAATTCCAGTGTTCTCGGCTTCCATCCCTTTTCTGTCCCCCAGGATAAATGATGCAGTGGGGGTTATTTTCTTTCTCTCATGGACTCCTTGGACTAGATTTTCCTACAAATGTGCAGGCAATTTGTTTTGGCCAAACAGTAAGTGAATGCAGCAGTGCAAATGGCCTTCATTCCAGAGGAGGACAAGGGGCTGGGCATGCATGCATGAGAGTAGAAAGATGTATAAGTCAAAAAAATTCAAAATAAAGAGGCTAACTTGCAGGGGAGGCCAGATGCCCCTAAAATGATCTAAAAACTATGAAGGCTTCTCCACAGTTACAGAAATCAGGCCAGATATGGTGTACATTATTTGTGAAAGAAGATAATGGTCAGTCTAACTTATTAATTAAGCAATTTAGAATATTATTATATGGTCTTTTGCCCCACTTGTCCTCCAGCTCATTGAAACAGCTGGTGTATGCTTAAGTCTCTTCAATCTTTATGTGATTAAGTTGACCAAGTGCTCAGTTTCTATCTTTCATATATGCAATTATGCACAATCTTTCAAAAAATTAGCCCTTAGAGGGCTTTTCCCCCAACCTTCAGTCTCTTGCAGCAATTTCAAAATGCACCATTTTGCTTTCATGTCCATTTAAACCCAGCAGCAAAAGAGAAAAAAAAATAAAAAAGAAAAAAAACAGCGCTTGGCATTCACTGGTGTTTTAATGTGGCAAAGTTGCTTCAGGTAACCTTGATAACTTTGTGCAAAAGTTCATTGCCATGTTTGTACTGACTTGCTGAGAATTTTTTCTTCTGGAAAATACCCCCAGTGGTATCCTCTGTAAAAGTTACAGCTGTAACACAACTATATTACTGTAGAAATCTCTGCCTGAAGTGGATGTCACGCTGCGTGTTTCTCTCATGCAGGAGTTGTTTGCATTGCCTGTTGTTCATATGGTTCTTATTTCTGTATCTAATTTTTTTAATTAGCTGTGCATATCTTTTTAAGAAAGAAAAAAATCAACCAAACAAAAACAAAACCACAAGAAAACAGCCCGTGGATTAGAAATATTTTAAAAATAAATTCACTCTTAGCAGTAGCTGGATGTATGTCAGTGATGCAGGAATTTGCAAAGTCTTTGCTTTTTTCACGGTGGGATTTATGGCTAGATTTCACATCAAGGAGTTATGCTCGAAGTCTTTGCAGAAGAAAATGTATGTAAATGTCTATTTTATATAAAAAGTAAGAAAAGTAGGTGCTGTGCTTGGTTTTGTTTTTTTCTTTAGGACCAGCCATGAACAAGTTGTTCTGGAGGTGGAAGGCCCGAAGTTTCTTACCCCACTTGATTTATATTTTATTTTATGTGCCCTGAATTCCAGGTTATTGGTCATGTAGGAGCAACTGTGCAGCATATGTGTTTGAGTCTGGGCACATAAAAACATTGGAGCAGGCATTTTTTGGAGTCTGAGCATGAGAAGATATGTGGGCTGGTGCTCACACAGCCTTGATGACTGAACATGTTATACTGACATAAGCTCTTCATGTCAGGCTTTACGCCTCTGTCAGGAATGTGTGAAACAAATCCACAGAGTGCAAAGAGAAAAAAACTGAGATTAAAAAGAAACTAATTTTGTTGTAAATCCCTTCTTCCTGGCACACATTCCTGCATGCTTCCAGGGTTTGAGTTCACTTGGGATAGTAATGGTGATAAACACCTCTATTGAAAATGGAGCTGAAAGAGAATCAAAAGCCCTGCACACATGCCATGGTGTTTCCTGCCATCCTGGTGTGTCCAAAATGCTCTGTAGCATGAAGGGGAGTGATGACAGTGATGGGGGAGGACATGAGATCCTGCTGCTGCCCATGGAAACAGGCAGCAAACTCCGAACAGGTAAGACACAGGGTGAGAGCCTCCAAACCGAGGTGTCATGCAACCCTGCAGCCTCAGCTGCTAAGACTGATTGACACCATATCCATTAAAAGGGCTCATCAGCTGAGTGGCTCCTCCTGTGAGAGGTGGAGCTCCAGCACTGGTCACTTTTCCTGAGCTGTGGTGGGAGCAGGACTCCTCTGCTTGTGTGCTGCCTTTTTTTATGTGGTGAGTCCTGTCCATGGTCTGTGGGGAGGTGAGCCCCAGTGTGGGGTTTATGGTGGTGAGCACTGGTGTTATTTGCTCTTTTGAGGTACCAAAAAGGTGAAAGTAGCCAGTCAGTGTCACAGGTTGGTGTATTTGCCCTGGTGAGTGATTTTTAGGCTGCCTTTGCTGTAGCTGTGTGAGGACTGGGAGCCTCTCTGTGTAGGTGCTACTCACCAGAGCCCTCCTTAGCTGCTGAGGTGAGTGTGACCCATTCCCTGTGCAGCCTACCCAGAAAGAAAGACAAATATTTTGGTCCTGCTGAGCTTGGGACCTGCTCTGCCTGGGGCACCAGGTCAAACCCTTCTTGCACTTCCCCCTGCAGTATTCATATCTCCCTGTCTGGCCTGTTCTACACCCATGTGAAAATTCATGTCTTTTAGGTGGGAGAGGGAAATAGGCACTAGGTAGGTTGTGAAGTGGTTCAAGCCAGGCAGGAGAATGATGATGTTCAGGGTAACTTGCTCCTGGTAATGAAGCCAGTGCTAAAACCACTCTCCTGCTGAGGCAAGAGATGGGCTAACCAGCTAACTGCAGTTCCTCCCACCCTGCTCCTGTATGGTGCTGCTTCTTGCTGATGTTATTTCTCTCACCACCTAAGGGAATGGTGTTTTCTCCATCATTGACCACCTTGATAAAGTTTGTTTATTTTCTGCTTCACTAGTAGACTTGCTGCTCTAGCAATAATCACCACAGTCCCTTGTTGGAAAAGCCAGTCAGCACCAAGCACTAGGGAGAGTTTGGTCCAGGTCAGTGGCTTAGAAAATTGTGCCTGGGCTTTGCAGTGGTCAGGTGCCTTGAGGACAGAGGGAGAGGTTGGTCTGAACAGGGCAGCAAGCAGCTGAGCCCCTCTACAGCCTGGAATGCTGCAGGAGTTGTGCAGGGATCCCCAGAACCTTGTGGGGTGAGTCCTGCTGGTCACTGCTGAGCTCAAAGAGTGTTTGGTGGTCTGGGTAGCAGAGGGAGTTGTGGGCTCCTCGGTGCTCTGGTGCTCTCATAAGTGATGTGAGAAACTGGGGAGCTTTTTGCCAACCTCCATCATGCAGCATCACCTCCAAGTCTACACAGAGGGCATCAGCTCCAGAGTTAGGGAGTGGTATCACTTTGGATCCAGTCTCAGTCTTGTGGTGACTCTAGTGAATTATTCCAGGCTCTCACCCAAGCAAACAGTGTGTGAGTACCTCCTAAACCATGACCTGTGGGGGGTACCAGGCATTGGTTTTTCTGGGTCTGGAATGAAGGCACTTGAGACAGTATTTCGTGTTTGAACTCAGGTGTTGATTATTTCTTATCAGTAAAACAGTCAACAGTTTTTCATTAGAAGGCACAAAATGGCCAACAATCTCTTGTTACAAGGTCTTTTAAGACTAAACTATCCAATTAATGGCTGACACCTAGATTATTTTCCCTTTTAACCCAATAACTGATCCCAAAGAGCTGCAATGCAGACTTTTCTGCCCAATTACAAAATGCCACCCAAACCCATTGAGAAGAAGGAAGAAGCAGCATGAAGGAGGAAGAAGAAGCATGAAGAAACCCAGGATGACACCCTGTGCCCTCCATCTTGCTTCCATCCACAACATACCAAAATCCCAAAACCTAAATCTCTCAACAAGTGATACACCTACACTACTCTCTATAATCCATTTCACACTTTTGTGGATTCCAGTCTATCTTGAAGTGTGGGAAACTTTCTCCATGAATGAGGGTCAAAGTCAGTGCTCTCCTGGGGGTCAGGGCACCCCAGAGCAGACAGAGGAACATTCCCTGTGCCCTGGGTTTCCACAATGAACATTGCTTATGTTTGTGTGGCTGGGACTAGTCATCTTTTCCCTTGGCTTGGGAGAGACGGGGGACCCCTCCTCTAGGCAAGAGAAACACATCAGACAGGAGGGATTCAAGAGTGATTTTCAGCTGGTGCAGACACAGGGCAGCTGGAAGGATTGGAGGAAGAGCTGCTGTCCTCAGCAGGGGAGCCAGAGGCCTGATACAAGCCCTGTCCCCCAGCCTGGAGAAGCAGACCTCCAGCTGGTGGGGGAAATTGCAGTTCTTTTTGTCCTTTGTGTCCCAGGTGCTGGAGATCACTTCTGCTATGTGATCCTGGTGGTGATGGCTGTGTTCTGGGCTGGCCCAGAGGCCTGCACCCCTTGCTCCCCACCCAGCACGGGTCTGCCAGCCTGTCACTGTGTGTGTCACTCCCTGCTGGGGGAGGACTGGAGGTGTTTTCCCTAGAAAACATAGGTGGGATTGCCACGGATTTATCTCCAACTGCACATTCAGTGAAGCATCAAAGCCTTAATCAGAGCCAGGTGTCCCCAAGTCAAACTGTCCCCATGCTCCCTGCCCACATTGCTGAGGCACTGCTGGTGCCAAAAGGGATGGAAGGAAGCTCCTTGGGGTGTAGGCCAGAGCGAAGATGGAAGGAAGCTGTGTCTCCTTGGGGTGTAGGCCAGAGCGAAGATGGAAGGAAGCTGTCTCCTTGGGGTGTAGGCCAGAGCGAAGATGGAAGGAAGCTGTGTCTCCTTGGGGTGCGGGCCAGAGCAAAGATGGAAGGAAGCTGTGTCTCCTTGGGGTGTGGGCCAGAGCAAAGATGGAAGGAAGCTGTGTCTCCTCTGTGGTCCAAAGCAAAGCTGAGCCCGAGGGCTGGGCCAGCTCCCTTCAGGGACATCTCTGATGGTGACTTCACTGTTCAGGGACATCTCTGATGGTGACTTCACTGGCACAGACCAAGTACTCCAGGGCACTAAAGGCATGGAAGCTTTTAAAAATAAACTTGGAGCGGTCTGGTGATGTCATTACAACCTGCTTCACTTTTTAATTTTGTTAGTCCCAGGTGCAATCATTAAGAATAATTAGGCTACTGGATGAAATCTAAATTTGGGGTTTTTTTCTGGCTGTGCATACACATGATGAAAGTACCTGACAGGAGAGCTCAGCTTTGCACACATCAGCTTCTACAGAATTGCAATTTCTCTGTGTTTTCGTTGATCTCCATGGGATTGCCTTCAGCGATTCCAGCACTCAGCCTGCAGCTTAAGCTGGAGTGTCTTGGTTGAGGCAGATTTGGGAGAAAGCTTCTGAAGGGTTCCTCCAGACACCAGAGGCAAGGGGCCTCTCTCTCAATTGCTTGAAGAGAAGATTTCCTTGGGGAAAAGTGGAAAAATCTGTTTATTTAAGGCAAAGCATTCACTAGCACAAAATGAAAATAACAATATTAAACAACAAAACCTCTCGCTGCTCTAAAAGAGATGACAAACTCAGTCTCATTTGTGGACATTCTACTTTTTATCTCTATGTTGTTAGTTTCCTACTAAAACTAATAGAGATTTGAACTTTGTAAACACATATATTATATATACACATATATATAGTATACAGCTATATATAGATAGTGGTAGTAATAGTTATATATGGTTTTTACTTAATAATTAGATTTTTTAGGTATATATTCTGTTGTTTTATCTTTTTATTATTTACTATTTGTAACTTGGTTTTTGAGTAAGGATAACTTTATGAATGGGTTTGTCTGTGTTTGAGGTAGAACTGATTTAAATTGGTTTTTTAAATACATTTTTTATATGTATTATTGAGATTTAGTTTTTGCTTATTGTATGTAGGGGTTTAGGTTTGGTAGAGTTTGGTTGGTTGGTGGAACTTTGGGTGTTAATTAAGTAGGCGGCTTTTGTTTGATGGTTTTAATTTTTGAAAGATTTTTTATTTAATCTTTTTAAGGCGGCTTTTAATAGTTGATTGTATTTTTTATTTTGTTTGTAGTTGGTGTATGGTAAGGGATATGACACGCTTCATGTTATGGTTTTTAGTTTTGGTGTTGATGAGGTTGTTTTTGAAATGAGTTTCATTGTTTGCTTTAATTTTTTAGGGGCATCATGCTTTTAAAGGATTTGTTTTTGAAGGTTCAGGATGATGTTATGGGGTGTAGTGTGAGGTCCAGGGGAGGTTTTGAGTTATTTTGTGGTGGTTTTTATCATTGTGAGCATGGAATGATTGTTTTGGTGTGTTTGGGATAGTGCAATGGAATTAATTAGTTTTGCTTATTTATATTTATATTATTGGTTATTATTTTCTAGAGGTTTGAATTGTTTGGTTTGTTTGATGGCAG